ATTGGGGAATGACTTGTATTCTTATAAATTTGACTCAATTCTCTATATATTTTAGAAATGAGGGCTTTATCAGAGGCACTGTTTGTAAAAATTGTTTCCCAGTTTTATGTTTCCCTTTTAATCTTGGTTGCATTGCCTTTGTGTAAAAACTTTTCAATTTAATGTAATCAAAATTATCCATTTTGTATTTCATAATGTTCTCTATCTCTTGTTTAGTCATAAATTCTTCCCTTCTCCTTAGCTCTGACAGGTAAACTACTCCTTGCTCTTCCAGTTTGCTTATAGTATCAGCTTTTATATCAAAATTGTGTACTCATTTTGACTTTATCTTGGTATACGGTATAAGATGTTGGTCTATACCTGGTTTCTCCCATGCTATTTTCCAGTTTTCCCAGCATTTTTTTTTAAATAGTGAGTTCTTATCCCAGAATCTGGAGTCTTTGGTTTTAACAAACAGTAGATTACTATAGTCATTAACTACTGTGTCTTGTGTACATAACCTATTCCACTGATCTATCACTATTTCTTAGCCAGTACCAAGTCATTTTGATGATTGCTCTTTTATAGTACAATTTAAGATCTGGTGTGGCTAGGCCACCTTCCCTAGCAATTCTTTTCATTGATTCCCTTGATATTCTGGACCTTTTATTCTTCCAGATGAATTTTGTTATTAAATTTTCTAGCTCTATAAAATAAATTTTTAGTAGTTTGATTGGTATGGCACTGAATAAGTAAATTAATTTAGGTAGAATTATCATTTTTATTGTATTAGCTTGGCCTACCCATGAGCAACGTATATTTTACTAATTATTTAGGTCTGACTTTATTTGTGTGAAAAGTGTTTTGTAATTGTGTCCATATAGTTCCTGGGTTTGTCTTGGCAAGTAGACTCCCAAATATTTTATAATGTCTACTGTAATTTTAAATGGAATTTCTTTTTCTATTTCTTGCTGTTGGGCTTTGTTGGTAATATATAGAAAATCTGATGATTTATGTGGGTGTATTTTATATCCTGAGACTTTGCTAAAGTTGTTTATTATTTCAAATAATGTTTTACTTGATTCTCTAGGATTCTCCATGTATATCATCATATCCTCTTCAAAGGGTGATAACTCTGTTTCTTCTTTGTCTATTCTAATACCTTAAATTTCCTTTTCTTTTCTTATTGTTAAAGCTAATATTTCTAATACAATATTCAATAACAGTGGTGACAATGGACATCCTTGTTTCCCTGATCTTATTGGAAATGCTCCTAGCTTATCCCCATTATATATAATGCTTGCTGATGGTTTGAAATAGAGCTATCATTTTAAGGAAGACTTCATTTATTCCTATGTTCCCAGTGTTTTTAATAGGAATGGGTATTGTATCTTGTCAAAATCTTTTTCTACATCTTTTAAAATAATCATATTATTTCTGTTACTTTTGTTGTTGATATGATTAATTATGCTGATACTTTTCCTAATATCGAACCAGCCCTGCATTCTTGGTATAAATCCTATCGACTCATAGTGTATTATCCTCAAGATAACTTGCTGTAATATCTTTGCTAATATTTTATTTAAAAATTTTGCATCTATATTAATTAGGGAAATTGGTCTATAATTTGCTTTCTCTGTTTTGGATCTTCCCAATTTAGATATCAGCAACATATTTATTTTACAAAAAGAATTTGGTAGAACTCCTTTTTCACCTATTTTCCCAAATAGTTTATATAGCATTGAAATTAATTGTTCTTTAAATGTTTGATAGAATTCACCTATAAATCCATCTGGCCTTGGAGATTTTTTTCTTAGGGAGTTCATTGAAGGCTTGTTCAATTTCTTTTTCTGAAATGGGGCTATTTAAGTATTTTATTCCCTCTTCTGTTAATCTGAGCAATTTATATTTTTGTAAATATTCATCTATTTTACTAAGATTATCAAATTTATTGGCATAGAGTTGGACAAAACAGCTCTTAATTATTGTTTTAAATCTCTCTTCCTTGGTGGTGAATTTACCCTTTTCATTTTTGATACCAGTAATTTGGTTTTCTTCTTTCTTTTCTTAAATCAAATTAACCAAATATATATCCATTATTTTTTTTTTCATAAAAAACAGCTCTTGGTTTTATTTATTAGTTCAATAATTTTCTTAATTTCAATTTTATTAGTATGTCCTTTGTTTTTCAGATTTTCTAATTTGGTATTTAATTGAGGATTTTGAATGTTTTTTTTTTCTAGCCTTTTAGTAGCATGCCGTGTTCATTGATCTCCTCTTCCTTTATTTTACTGAGGTAAGCATTTAGTGATATAAAAATTTCCCTAACAACCACTTTTTCTTCATCCCATAAATTTTGGTGTGTTGTTCTTTATTATAATTATTATAGTTATAATTATTATAATTACAATTCTCTTTGATGAAGTTATTGATTGTTTCTGTGATTTGTTGTTTCACTCACTCATTCTTTAGAATAAGATTATTTAGTTTCAAATTAGTTTTTAGTCTATCTTTCCATGGCCCTTTATTATATGTAATTTTTATTGCATCATGATCTGAAAAGGATGCATTTAACATTTCTGCCTTTCTGCATAGTATTTTGAAGTTTTTATGCCTTAATACATGGTCAATTTTTGTGTAGGTGCCATTCACTGCTGAGAAAAAGCTATATTCCTTTCTATCCCCATTCAATTTTCTCCAGAGGTCTACCATATCTACTTTTTTCTAAAATTCTATTCACCTCCTTAAATTCTTTCTTATTTATTTTGTGGTTAGATTTAGCTAGTTCTGAGAGGGGGTCTTCTACTCATATAATTTTGCTGTCTATTTCTTCCTGTAACTCCCTTAACTTCTCCTGGAAGAATTTGGATGCTAAACCACTTGGTGCATATATGTTCAGTAATGATATTACTTCATTGTCTGTGGTACCTTTTAGCAGGATATCCTTCCTTATCTCCCTTAATTAGATCTATTTTTGCTTTTGCTTTGTCTGAGATCAGGATTGCTACTCCTGCTTTTTTTTTTTACTTCAGTTTCAGCATAATATATTCTGCTCCAGCCTTTTACCTTTACTCTGTGTGTATCCTTCTGCTTCAAATGTATTTCTTGTAAACAACACATTGTAGGATAATGGTTTTTAATTCACTCTGCTATCTGCTCCCATTTTATGGGAGAGTTCATCTCATTCACATTCAGAGCTATGATTACTATCTATGTCTTTCTCTCCAACTGATTGCCTATCCCCCCCAACCCCAGTTATGCTTTTCTTTCTCCTTTTTCTCTTTCCCTCCTCACTAGTGTTTTGCTTTTGACCATTGCCTCCCTCAATCTGTCCTCTCTTTTCTTTCCCTTTTCTCCTTCTCCTTCTTCCTGCCCTTCTATCCACCACCTCCCTTTTTTCACCCTTTCTCCTCCTACTTCCTATAGGGTGTTAGATTTCTATATTTATCTGAGTATATTATTCCTTCTTTGAGCCAAATCCTATGAGAGTAAGGTTCAAATAATGCTAATCTCTCTCCCTTCTTTCCCTCTATAATAGGTCTTTGTGCTTCTTCATGTGGTGTAATTTACCTTTTTCTGCCTCCTCCTTTCCTCTTCTCTCAGCACAATCTCTTTTCACCTCTTAATTCAATTTCTTGTCATCACATCAAAGTCAACTTATACCCATGCCCTCTCTCTGTGTATACCTGTTCCAAATGTCATAATAAAGATATAGTCCTCAAGAGTTACAAGTATCATTTTTTCCATGTATGAATGTAAACTGTTTCCCTTATTGAATGACATTTTTTTTTCTTTTCTGTTTACCTTTTTATGACTCTCTTGAATCTTGTATTTAAGATTAAATTTTCTCTTGAGCTCTGGTCTTTTCATCAGGAAGGTTTGGAAGTCCCCTATTTCATTGAATGAAAACCTCCTCCCCTGGAAGGCTATCCTCAATTTTGCTAGGTGGTTGATCCTTGGTTGTAATCCAAGCTCTTTTCCCTTATGGAATATCATATTCCAATGCCCCTGATATTTTAATGTAGAAGTGTCAAGGTCCTGAATAATTCTGACTCTGCTTCCATGATATTTAAATTGTTTCTTTCTAGCTACTGGCAGTATTTTCTCCTTGACCTGATAACTCTGGAATTTGTCTATGATATTCATTGGCATTTTCATTTTGGGATCTCTTTCAGGAGGTGATTGGTGAATTCTTTCAATGACTATTTTATTCTCTGGTTCTAGGACCTCAGGGCAGTTTTCCTTGATAATTTCTTGAAAGGTGCTGTCTGGGCTCTTTTTTTGTTCATAGCTTTCAGGTTGACCAATAATTCTTAAATTATCTCTCCAGGATCTATTGTCCAGGTCAGCCATTTTTCCAATGAGATATTTTCTGTTTTCTTCTATTTTTTCATTATTTTGATTTTGACTGACTGATTCTTGATGTCTCATAGAGTCATTAGCTTCCACTTGCCCAATTCTAATTTTTAACAAATTATTTTCTTCAGTTAGTTTTTGTAATTCCTTTTCCATTTGGCCAAATCTACTTTTTAAAGAGTACTTATCTTCAGAATGTTTTTGTGCCTCCTTTTCCATTTGATTGATTCTACTTTTTAAGGAATTGTTTTCTTCAGTGTACTTTTATTTTCCATTTAGCCAATTGTGTTTTTTAAGGAATTGTTTTCTAAGGTCAAATTTTATCCTTGCTTTTCCAAGCTATTGACTCTCTCTTACATACCTTTCATTTCTTTTCCCAATTTCTCTTCCACTTCTCTTAATTGCTTTTTAAACTCCTTCTTGAGCTCTTCCAAAAAGACTTTTTGGGCTGGAGATCAATTCATGTTCCCTTTTGAGGTTTAGGATGTGGTTAAATTCACAATGTTCTCTTATGAATTTGTGTTTTGATCTTTTGATCTTCCCTGTCATCATAATAATTCTCTCTGGTTAGTGGTTTTTTTTGTGTTGTTGTTTTTCTTTCATTTTGCTCATGATGTTTCCATTTTTCCTGGCTTTTAAAGTTGATTTTTGCTTCTGGGGAACAGAGGGCACTGTTCCAAGCCTCTTGTGCTGGGGATCAGGGGCCTGGTCACTGTCTTTGCATGCTAGGACCTCAGGTGCTGGCAGCTGGCGGCTGTAGGGGGTCTGGTAGCTTACCTGGTGCTGAGCTGATGTCCTAGTTATGATGGCTGGTGTGAGCTGAGACCAGGAGGGGTTTTTCTGCATTTCTCCAGGGCTACACTAAAGTTCGAGGGGTGGGGAGGCATCTGGCCACTGGTGGAAGCCTGCTCACCTGGGATAGCACTGAAGCATGGGGAGATTCAGCTGCTGTAGGATGTCTGCCACCCCAGCCCAAATGTTGGTTCTCTGAGCTGGAGTCTGCTAGTTCCCCTGGCTGTGCCAAGACACCTGGGGTTGGGACTTGCCTGCTCCACCACCCTGCATTCAGGATCTCCCACTGGTTTGCTGAGGTGGGGACATCTCACATCCTGTACTGCTCTACTTCCTTTCCCATTAATTAATCCTTTCCCAAGCCTCTTAGCTAAAAGACTGTTTATACCCCATATTTCTGCTGGCTTTGCTATTCCAGGATTTTTCCTGGGGTGATATTTTCTGGGGTTTTTTTGAGGTCAATAAGGGAGAATGAGAGTGACTTAGTGCTTGCTCCACCATCTTGGCTTCTGGAAGTCTCTGAGTTCAGTTCTTTCTCAGAAGATAAATGACATTTTTCATCATGAGTCCTTTGGAATTTTCTTGGACTATTGTATTCATCAGAGCAACTATGTCTTTCATAGTTGAACATCATTAGTATATTGCTGTTGCTGTGTACAATGACCTCCTGGTTTTCTCTACCTCACTTTGCTTAAGTTCACATAAGTCTTCCCATGTTTTTCTGAAACTATCACTCTTATCATTGCTTATAGCACAGTAGTATTCCATCACAGACATATGCCACAATTTGTTCATCATCAGGCTGTGAGGTAATGAAACACAGGAAAAGGAGAGCATGAAAGAAACAGATCCTGAATGTTTTGGTGGGGATCATATGGGATGCTGGAAAGAGCTGATCCAGGACAATAAATTGTTTGGGTAGTCACCAAATTGAAATATCAAAAAACTCTGTCTACTTTTATTATGTGACAGTGAATAAATTGGCAGACCTCGAGTCAAAAATATTTTTGAGTTCAAATCTGGCCTCAGACACTTACAGGTTGTGTGACCCTGGGAAAGTCACTTAACCCTGTTTGCCTCAGTTTATTCATCTATAGAATGAGCTTGAGGTGATAATAAGCTATTAATATGGAGATTATAGAATCAAAGATTCAGAATTCAGTTAAATTTGATAAATATTTATTAATTTACTGTTATTAAAAAGATACCTTGTAAGGTAACTAGATGCTCTGTAGAGCATCTAGTCCAAGCTCCCATTCAGAACTACAATTTATTCCATGTCTAACAAATGGTGAAATAACCTCCTTGAACACTTCAAGTGATGGGAAGATCTCCACATCCCAAGATAGTCCATTCCATTGTTGGGATAGTTCTAATCGTTCTAGAGATCTTCATCAAACAAGGTCAAAATATATCTCTTTTAATTATTGGGCCTAATTCTTCCTTCTGCAAAAGCAGAAAGCATTCATGGACCCTTCATCATATACAATCCTTCAGCTACTCTCTGAAGACAGAAATAATGTTCTTCACATATCTTCTTTTCCTTAGTTTGTACATGTTCTATTACTCTGTGGTTATCATATGATGTAGTTCATAATTCAAACTTTCCTTTTACTGGATATCTTCATTGAGGTGCCCCAATATAGCATTCTGATTATTTAACAAAGGCCCCAGGGATGACTGATATGTCATGCTATCTACTTTTCAGAGTTGACATTCCAACTAGCTAAAGCCAAAAATTTAAAAATACCCTCAGTGGACTATATGTAGCATTTATATAACATTTTAAGGTTTACAAACTGCTTTTCAAATATTATCTCATTTTGTCTTTATAACAACCCTGGGAAGTTGGTGCCATTGTTCCCATTTTATGGATGAGGAAACAGAGGCAGACAGAAATTAGTTGACTTCCTCACCTTAGGAGGGTCTTGAGCCATATTCACTTCACTACCTCTAAGAACTATTATGATTAGTAGAGGAACCACCTTGACTAGCAAAGACCTCTTCTTATTCCAAAGAAAAGTTTCAAAACTCCCTAAAAATAATAAGGATGATAAAAGTATATTTTTAAAACTGGAAGTTTAATTATTTTCTGCTTTTACAGTGGGGTGCTGAAGTTTTGAGTAAAGACAGAATGACCTCTCCAGCTTATCAAAATGTGACTGGGAAGAGAAGACAAAAGGTTGCCAAACTGGCATTTAGGTTCCTAGGGTCTGGCATCATCAGATGTCATTGCCTGGTAAAACTATTCATGTTGGAGATTGGCCAGTTTCTTCACTAAACTTGATTCTTTTTCCCTTCTTTAAGTCCCAAGAACATTGATAAATTAATAGGCATGTCAAAAACAAAAATGATTGAGAAACATTACTTAACATTAATTCTGGGAGCCTACATCATTGTCAGGATCTGAGGTCATGGGGCCCCAATACTTAGCAGAGAAAACTCATCTTTGCAGAAATCTCTCAGTAGTAAAAACCTTGTACCTCACTGATGTGTAGCTGAATGGAACCACAAAGCTCCTATTTGCAGAGTCACTAATTGCCTTTGCTTTTCACTCCTTCAGGGTCCTACATAATGAATTGCTTTTCTATGAAGATAATATTAAAATATTATGATTCCTTAGATTGAGACATTTAAAGGGGAAAGATACAAGTCTAATAAATCTCAAAAAGAGGAATTTTCACTTGTTCATTAAAGGGCATGACACTAGAATTAATCTGTCTTTTCTAATGTGACCAAGGACTGCCTTTCTGCTTGGATTTTTATTCCTGACACTTAGCACAGTTCCTGTCACATAGTAAGTGCTTAATAAATGCTTCTTGACTTGACATTATTATAATTTAGAATAAATCAGTGAAAGAATTTTTCCATATATTGTTACAAGCCAAGGCAGGGAGAAACACCAGTTGGCATAAAAAGATGTTTGTCTCTATGGGGCAAATGGGTTTCTGAATATCAGTCATTTTCCACACTATGCAGAGTATAAAGAATACACATGATCATGCTAGAGTCACAACCAGATAGCCATTAGCCTTGGTAGTATTTTGTTGTATTTCAGGGGAAAGGAGACAGATTTACTCTGATAGTCATTGGCTTGGGATCCAAGAGACAGTGGATTTAATTTGACTTTTGGTTGGCTTTGCACAGTAAGTAAAACATAGGTATTAGATGTGGCTGCTCATTTACTTGAAGTGTAAGCTTTTTGGAAATGGCACTACTTATGTCCAAAAAAGGAAAATATAGTGCCCCTCTCACCACCCTCATAGCTACAACCACTATTCTCTATAATACTGGTGATGAACTTGTACATAGAAATGGATCACAAATTAACATTATCTGTGCTATATTATATTTTTATTTATTTTGTTAACCATTTCCAAATTACATTTTAATCTTGTCCAAACTATACTCCATCCAGAACTGTTGCCAGCTGCACCTGGCCCATGAGCTGCATGTTTGATACACCTACTCTATGTTATGTGTCTTAGAGATACGTGTGAGCAATTGTCTTTATTCCCTTCATATTTAACTTTAAAATTCTATTGATCAGATTCAGCTTCTACTAGGAAAATGTGATTTTAATAGCCCTTGCTAGGTATGCTCCAACCATGGCCAAGCATTCAGCATTCCTAAACCTTTATCTGTAGTTCAGAAACAAATCCTTTTGTAAGACATCATCTCTTTGCCCAGTTGTGTATTTCTCTAGGCACATTTTCTATTCAGAAGTCACTTCTCTTATGAGTAGTTGCAATAAAATTACTATTGTATCCTTAATTCTTTCAGTTTCTTGCCCAAAACTTCATAATTCCTATCAAAATTTTCTAGATATCATAAGTCTTTATATGAACAATAAGTAGTTATATGATTTTACCTGCCTCAGGAACTCTCCATCACATCCTGGCTGTCTGCCCCAGAAAGACAACTTATCTTTCTTTTGTTCTTGTCAGATTACCATATGTCTCTTTGGATCCTCCTCATCAGAGTTGCCTGCACCATTTGTTCTACCTGCTTCTTCTGCCCAGTATCATATAACTTCTATCCCAGTGGTACCTGTGGTTGTTCATCCTTTTTTCATTGGAGCATTGGGAAGCTAATTTATCCTTATAAGAGTTTAGTTCTACCCTATATGGGAAGAATCACATACCTATTTTATAGCTCCCAAGCTTCACTGGTCTTTCTTCTTACCATTTTATCTATGTCACATTCTTGCACCTGTCAATTCCTTGGCACACGTTAAAGTACTATTATTTTAAAAGAATCACAGAATCTGAGAGTTGGAAGGCATTTCAGAAGCCATCTAGCTCAATCTATATCTGAAGAAGAATCCCTTGTGCCATATCGTCTCAAAATGGTCATCCAGACTCAGTTTGGAGAATTCTAATGAAGGGGAATCCCTAGCCCCCAAGGTAGTCCATTATACTTCTGAACAACTTTATTTGTTTGGAAGTTTGTCTTTAGATCATACCTAAATCTTCCTCTTTGCAACTTTCACCTATTTTTCCTAGTTATGTCCTTCAAGGTCAGGGAGAACACATATTATCCCTCTTTTGCATGATACCCTTTAAATAACTGAAGACAGAAATTGTGAAGTCACATACACATATGCATACATATATATGTACATATATGTTATACAGACACATACATATGACATGACCAATGCGAACATTTTGTTTGCCTTGATTATACATGTTTGTAACAAGGGAGTTGTTTTTCTTTCAATCTTAGTCAGGAATTGATAACAGGAAGGAGAAAAAGCATATTTTTTCTGATTGAAAAAATTAAATATAATTATTTAAAAGTAAAATATTTAAGTAAAACTAATAATATAGTGACCAAATATGAAACTGCATGCATTTGACATTTGACATCAATAGAATACATCCACTTATCTCTTTATTTAATAGAAATCTATTTTCTCTTCTTTCCGTCCCTCACCAGATGGGTCTATATAGGCGACAGGTTTTTTACCAAACAAGTAGAGAGAATGACAGAAGATAAAATGGAT